TGCGACCCCGGCGCTCCACTTCCTATAAAAAGCGGCGCCACTTTCATGAGCCGCAGTCCAATCGCCGCGGCCGGTGACGCTTGGGCCCCGGCGCCCATTGGCCGCGGACCGGGCGGGGCGGGCCGGGAGGCCGTCGCGTGGGACCGTGGGCCAGGACTCGTCGCGGCCGGGCCCCCGACGCTCCCGCCGCCGACCAGTCTCCCGGAATCGCGCGTACCAGTCTCTGCCTGCCAGCCCGGTGCGGGGGTCGGCTCATTGGCCGCGAGAAGATCCGGCCACGCGGAGAGCTGAGTGCCATCAAAGGCGCGGCCCCAGCGAGCGGCGCCGGCGCCTTCCCGCAGTGTCGCCCCCGCTGTCGCCATCGGCTTTTCTTCCCGCTGCGCCTCCACCGAACCTGGGACCTCTGGCGGGGTCCTGCTTCGCCCCCTGTGTTCTCCCCACCTCCCGGAGGCCGCAAGGAACGGTCTCGTGCGTGCCAACGGGCTACCCCGCCTCCATCCCCTTGCAGCGGGTCTACTGTGTCCTTGGCTATTCGGGCCGGTCAAGCAGCCGCATGTCCTGCCGGGTGGAGGCCAGGAGGGGCGCGTCGCAGGTCACTGGGCAGGGACGAGGGCGGCCCTCCTACACATCTCCAGGCGCACGGCTCCGGAGGCTCTCAGCCGCAGCCGCGAGCTCTGGTCTGACGGCGACGCCTCTGCGCCCCGGGGCTCGTGTGTGGCGCGGGGTGTTTAGTTCGCCGCCAGCCTCTCGAGCTCCGCGCTAGCCCGGCTGATCAGTCCCGCCGAGAGGCCCTGTGGTGGCCCGACGCTGGAGGCCGAGGCGGCTCCTGGAGGTTCAGGCGGAAACTGTCTGGACTCTGGCTTGGTGGAGGAGACAAGGCCATTCAGAGACCTGCACTCCTGCGAATTTTCCCCAAACCTAGACGATCCTTTGGTTTCAAGACCTTTTGGGCTGCTGCAGGGGAGGAGCTGGGCCTAAAACCCAGGTCGTCTGCAACCCTATGGTCTCTCTCCAAGGAAAGAGCCTAACTGGGTGTCACCAGTAAAGACAGGATGGAATGTGGGTGAGCACTGTATGCTCATTAACATCCTGGAAACAAGGACAACGGAAGCCGACACTCAGATCATTCTGAAAAGCAGAAGTCTCCTTAATGAAATCCACCTTGGTGGCCTGTCTTCTGGCCCAGCTAAGCCAGAGAAATTCAAGTAGGAAGTTTTCCCTCCATGCAAATTTAGACATGCCACTGAAAGGGGCTGCAGGGAGCTGCTGGCTGACGTGGGGGCCAGGATTAGCTCCTCCCGTCCTAAGCCGGTCACCCTTCCCAATGGCGTAAAGATACTGAGTGGACTGAGGATGAACTCAACACTCAGCTTCTCCTGGTGGCTCATCTTCTCCATGGCATCCTCGGGGGCGTTTGAGAGCATTTTAATGAGCATGGAAGCCGTGCCCCGGGCCTGCCCCACATCTGCCCAGGACACTGCAAATTTCAGCATCCCACAAGATGTGGTTCTGCCCACAAGGGTGGAGTGGTGACGAGCCTGTGCCAGGGATGGTAGGATGCAGAGGCAGGACCCAGGGCGGTGGGCTCTGCCTACCGGGGTCTGTTTACTGACCCCGCCTTGGACCATCTCTCCTCTAGTTCTCATCCCACCCTGCATTGGCATCCCTCCCTCTGAGCCACTAGGCTTGGGCACCAGTTAGGCCAGGTGCCCAGCCTTTCCCAGCAAGAGCTGGCCCCTCCTTGGTAATCTCCATCAGCCTCAGCCGGGAGGCAGAGGATGTTGTTGTTGTTGTTATGTGCCATCGAGTCAGACCTGACTCATATCAACCCCTCCTTGGATATCACTGCAGAAGTAGATTGCCCAACCTTCCTTCTGAGGAGTGGCTGGTGGGTTTAAACCGCCAGCCTTCTGGTTAGCAGTCAAGTGCCTTAGGCACTATGCTACCACAGCTCCTGGAAGGCAGAGGAGGGAGGGTGAATGTGGCAAAGACGGGGAGGCGGGGAGCAGTGTGATGGCATGAGGTCATAACACTGCACAGCCAGGCTCAGCACAGTGGGGTCTCCAGGCCCTGCTCTGCTCGGTGGCAGGAGGAAAGAGGGAGCCCCTTCTGCAACCGTGCTGCCTCTGAGGGCAGAAGCCATCATCTAGTACAAAGATCCCAGATCCCGTCTCTGGCCACCAGGAGGGAGGAAGAGGTCTGTGTTGAAATGTCCTGGCCCATGATGCTGGTCAGCCTGGCCATGGTAGGTGCACTGTTGGCAATGGGCCCCCCCGGCAGGCCTGAGGCCCAGACACGTCTCCTTCCTGAGTCTGGGTGGCTCCTTGGTGCTCGATTCTGATGTATAGTGACCCCTCAAGTGACAGAGGAGAGCTGAACACACCAATCTTCACAGGAGCAGGTCACCAGGTCTTTCTTCTGCAAAGCCACTGGATGGGTTTGAACTGCTGACCCTTTGGTTAGCAGCTGAGTGCTTAACTGTTCCACCATCAGGGCTCTGTTTGGTGAGGAAATCAGTCATTAGTGCTCAGAACCCTGCTAGTTAGCACGAGGGGCCTGGAACCCCTGGTGTGGGCTTTCTTGGTTTTCTCAGGAACAGGTTTGCTTTGCTGGGTGTGCAGGGCCGAGCTTGGCATTTTACAGGATTAGCAAAGAAATACTCTCCCTTCAGCCTTAAAACTTGGACCCAGAGGTGTGTTTGTGGCTCTGTGACCCAGGCTGCGCTCCGCTGTCCCAGCTGGTGCCCTGTGTGTCAGGTGGCACCATGCTACTGGGAAACAGGACAGATTCCCTTTTGAATGGTGATCACGTGTACCTAGGTCTAGACGGGCAAGCCTGAGGATCCCACTGTCAGTCAGCGAGCGTCCCTGGCCTGGGAGCTCTGCCCAGCACCCTGTGAGGGCAGCTGACTGCAGGGCCGTTCCCCTCCGGGGCCTCCGTGAGTGTTCCCAGAGTGCTTCTCCTCCAGGGAAAGCGTCAGCTCACTTTGTGCTCTTAGTCACCCGGCTGCCCTGGTCCCCCGGAACCTGGACAGCCTTCCTCCCCCAGGCGCTTTCGTTGGCGTCTTGGGCTTCTCCTGACCCACTTGCTGAGAAGCAGTGCCCTTATGCGTCCCTCCCGGAGCTGAGGTGTGATCACAGAGGCAGGCCAGCTGGTGGGCTCCCAGGGCCCAGTCTGGAAGGTTGTGACAAAGCTGGGGCTGGGCAGAAAGCATTTGGGCGGCCTGCTCTAGGTCCCAGGGCCCCACTCTGTCTCATCGGCTGCCTTCTCAGCCAACTCACCCACCAAGCAGCACTAAAATGCGTGCCAAACTCAGAGGAGACAGTTGTCTTTGGTCTTGCCCTCTGCTGAGAGCCACGCACATGTGTGACTCCATCCAGTGCACAGCGGCCCCCTGTGGCAGAGCACAGCTGCCCCAGGCTCCCTGGGCTGTGGTCTTTATGGGAGCAGAGGGCCAGGTCTTTGTCCTGCCAGCCACTGGGTGGGTTCATACTGCTGACCTTTTGGGTTATCAGTCCAGTGCTTAACCATTGCACCATCAGGACTCCTTATTCAGTCCATAACAGTCCCCCAAGACGCCCATGTCCGAGTCCCTGAGCCTGTATATAGGTCAGGTCAGGAGGCAAAAGGGACCTTAGGTTGCCAAGGGTGTTAAGGCTACCAATCAGCTGTCTTAAAATTGGGGGTTGCCATGGGTTATGGGGTGTGATCACAGGGGCCTTACAGGAGGAGGGAAGCAGAAGAGAGAGGCCAGGTGAGGAGGGCTCGCCCTACCCTACAGGCCACCAAGTTGGAGAAGAGGCCATGAGCCACAGATGTGGGAGCCGGAGCTCCCTCCAGAAGGTGGACGAGGGGCCACAGAACAAGGGCAGCCTCTCTTGAAGCTACAAATTTGAGGAAATGGTCCAGAAAGCACCAGCCCTGCGATGCTCTGAGTTTGGACTTCTCACCTTGTGCTGTTTTAAGCCGCCAGGTTTGGGGTACTTTGTCAGACAGCCCCAGAAAGCTGAGACACCCTGTGAGCCACTTGACCTCACCCATATTGTGGGTGAGGGAAACGGGGCTCAGAGCAATCTCCCCAGAGCTGGGCCAGACCTGCGGAAGCTGAGACCACGTTCTTTCCTCTGCTGTCTGAGGGTGGGAGGTGTAGGCCGGGGGCCATTTGGGGGTGGGCGCATGGGCCTGGGGCTGTCTGAGGGCCTTCCACTCCCAGTGTTCCCACACCCTGGGGCCCACCCAGAAACCCTGCAAAGAGCTGTAGGTCAGCCCCAGATACCCGGGCCCTGAGCCAGCCTGGGGCTCTTCTCTCCTGCCCCAGGCCTGAGCTGCCCTGTGTGGGGTTGGAGCCAGCCCCCAGAAACCCCACTGGGCCAGCTTCGCTGCCCTCCCACCCTCTGGGAGGCAGACTCTGATGGCTCATCTTCGAACCAGGCCTGCCTGCTGGCCCAGGAACCACAGCGTGGCAAAGGTGGCATGCGGTGGCCATTGGGCCCCACACCGAGGACACTGCCTGTGGCTATCCCACCCCTGCAGGCACCTCCTGGGCCTAGACACCACAGCCTAGGCCTCAGGCTCACTGCTTGCAGGGAGGAGGCTGGGGTCAGGGCAGGGTCTGGACCCTGAGCCTGAGGGTCCTCCTCTGGCATTTCGAGGGTGTGGAGAGTCGTGTGGGGCTGGACTCTGAGAGCCTGGCACAGTTCTTCCAGCCCCACTGGCCACCTCCCCTTCTCTCCACCTCTCTGTCTCTCTTGCTCTTTCCTCTGGCTCCAGTCTTCTCTCCCTCCCCTCCTCCCCAGCTGGCCTATCCAGGAACTGCCACCTCTCATTTTCTGGGGACACTGTTCCTGAAGCCAGATGCCCCTGGTTTGCAGGAGAGGAGACCCGGGCCCACGCTCACCAGGGGCAGACACCCTGCAGTGTCAGTGGAGGTTGGGGTGATGCTGAGGACTCCTTCCCAGGAAGGGCCTATGGGGGGCAGGGGTGGTGAGGTGGGCATGGCACGACGTGAGCTGGTAAGCAGTGTGGTCGGACCCTCCAGTGGGGTCTGGAGCAGATACCCTGATGGCCCTGGGCAGCAGCCCTCCACCCCCTTTTGTGCCCATCACTGGGGATGGAGGCCTTGTTCTCTTTCACCCCCAGCACCCCAAGGTGCGGACCCTCAGAGGGGTAGGGGGAGCTAACGTGAATTCTCACCAGTTTCCCAATTTGTCCAGGAAACTGTGCCCCTAAACATACACATTTTGAGCCCCCAGCCCCTGGCCTTGCTGGATCAGAACCTCTGCAGGCCAGGGGTGGGGACATGCTTGGGACCAGGACAGTCAGGCTCCTGCTTGGTGCCTGAGTGGCCCAACCCATTGGGCCACGGCCTACAAGTGGAGACCTCACGTGGTGCTCCCTGCTGGGATAGAGCAGAGAGTGCAGCAGACCTGGGGTCCCTCCAGAGGTCATCCTTGGGGTCTTCAGCCTCTGTACCCCGCTTCCCCACTTGCCCTGGCTCAACTGGGCTTTCCTCCTGACATGGCGTGTGGATGGAGACCAGCATCTGCGGAACAGCCAGGTGAGACCACACACAGACTGGGCCACATCCTGCCTGTCCATGTGGACCCTGCAGGCCAACCTGACTTTCTGGGAACATGGGCCTGATTACTGTCCCTCTGTTCCTCTTCTTCGTGTCCCTGAGGGAGCTTGGATCTGACCCTAACCCCTAACCGGACAAAAAAAATGAGTAGGTACAGCCCAGGGCTGTGTCCCCAGGCCACTGTC